ATATATGTATATGTATATGATATTGTCACCATATATGCATATATTCATAGACTTGTCCCATTACTGAATATGTATGTTTATGGGTTGTGAAATGGCAGGACCTTGAAATATGGCACCCAACAGATGAAACCATATGAAATTCCATGGATAGAGGTCAGTATTTGTCAATAATATTCTATTTTCTGTAATGTTCTTGACATGTATTAGGATACTTTAAAGCCGATTTCTATGTATCTATGTATAAACAAGCTAATGGATCAAGAAACATGTTGATTATCTACATAATCTTTGGTACAAACTAAACTTGTGACTGTTTGTCACTATATGTTTTTGACTATGACTTTGTGTCTTCCTGTACAACTATGAAAGCAATATCTTAAAACATGATTTTTTTTTTTGTAGAATGCAAGAAATAGCAACATAGTTTTGTAAATTCCTTTCATACTGGCATCTTATACATATTTTAATTATAATGTACTAATGTTACGTTACTGGCCTTCAAATGTTCATATTTATGGCTTCTAGCATCTTCCGGTGGAGTGACAGTTCCCGTGCAAAGAGTGTGCAGAAATTACAATTTTGCCCCCTTCAAAAAATATGCAAAAGCTTTGTTGTGTTTAGCTCACATTGAATTGCAACATTTTTTAAATGCTCCACCATCACAACCACCTATTTTCATTGCTTTAACTTGTATTGGAAGGGAAATTTTATATTTTCAAAATAATTTCCTTAAAAACGTTCTTCCTTCAGAAGCTTATTACCTTCATTTTGTTCAGCATGGGTTTTATGAAAAAACCTCATTTGCTACTTGAAATTCTTGGAAGGGTTGTATAGGTGACAAATTATTGATTTATCATTTTTACATCTGGATATGGATATGGACCAATGTATCATCTTGTCAACAAATGAAGGATGAAATTTCTCTCTTTGGTGACATGAGTTTTTCCTTCTCATGGTAAAGCATCTTTGAAAAAAATAGAATTATTATAGCATTTTACTTTTTAACTTTTTTTAAGATATTATATAAATTTTTCAATAGTTCTGTACCAAACCGTGTTATCAGTCAAAAGTGGCAAAATAGAAATTTATGAACATTTAAGCAAAACTTGATCCAACCCGACGGCGCGTGTAATTCCTGCTAGTTATAAAACATTTAATATAGTTAAAAAAAATAGATTCATTAATTTAGAAGTTAAAAAAATATAGATTCATTAATTTAGAAAGGAATAATGATAAACTATACTCGTAGGACACGATATCCGAGTCATGATATCATATTTCCATCTATATCTTATTTGTCGTTTATATCCGTTTTCATGTATTAATTCTTTTTTTCGTGTTTTTCTCACAAACAAAATCTTTTGCATGGTAATTAAGATCTTGCAAAAGTGGAATGGCCCTACGGTTTGTATCCTTTATTTTAAATTTATTTTTAAATGAAAAATTAAATATCATATTATCTTTTTTTTTCTACTTATATTATATAGGATTATGGCATGTGAATATCATTAATTATCTTTTTTAATTTTTTTTCTAAATTTTGACATTTGTATTGATCTAATGAACAACAAGACAAGTAGAAAGAAAATGTATGAGAACAGTATAACTACTTTCAGTGGCGAGTCTAGAATAATATACAATATGGTTCATTAACCGAGTTTAATCGTGTTGATTAAAAAAATTTGGTTCAACTAGAACGCTTCATCCAGAAAAATAACAGTTTTAGCATGTATAAAACTTGGTGTTGAAAGGATTAAGCCCAAATTAGTCGATTCTTTTTTTTCTTACTAAAAACAACTTATATTTGGAGTTAGTCAGTCTAAACAAGACATGAGTAATGTAAAAGAAGAAGTATCTATTTATAATAGAAAACTCATTAACCATTATTTTAAAGTCAATGTGAAACTCCTTAATCTCATTTATGATATGTCTTCTATTGTCAATAGTTTATATCTTTTTTTTTTCTCTTTCATTTTTTACTAAACACATTAAGCTAGGTCCTTCAAAATATAGAAGGTGGATCCTATAGATTTTTTGTATATAACTTGTTATAAACATTTTAATTTTAGTTGGGTCAAGTCACCCACCTTCCCATAACATAGCCTTAATTACCTTTAGGATTTTAGGCAAATTTACCTCGGCATGACCTGTTTTTTTGCACTTGATTTTTTCTTTTAGCTCTTTGAACAGATACTTATCATGTTCAATATAAATGATGTACAAAGATTTTTGGTATTTTTTAAATTAAAATTAGGAAAACTCTTAATCCCTTTCATATATACATGTGTTTAATATCTAGTTCAATCAAAGAAACTCGAATTAGGATCAGGACCGATCTTGACATTTTATGAGTTATGTGTAATTTTATGGTTATGTTATGTGCAATTCAGTATACGTATGCCCTAATATTTATGTTTTTCATATCCACATTTATACTTTTTTTGTTCCACCATGTATATTGAAGTTTAAAAAGCAAAAACATTAATTTTTCTTTTTCGTAATTCGACTATTCCATTGTTTGCAAACTTAAGAATAAATTTGTTATTTGAAAGAAATCAATTACTTACCTATGTACAAAATTATAAATAATTAAATATTAGTATATGTAGCCGTATAACAAATCATGGAACTTTGGATTTTGAAACTACATTTTGTTATTAACCTGACAATCCATAGGAAACCACCTGTGTCTAATAAAATGAAATCCAAGCTTGAACCCAAAATGCAAAACTATGCAAACCACAAGGACCAAAAAATGTAATTTAATCTTGTAAAGTTTTAGAACTTGGACCTAAAAGGCAAAACAATGCAAACCATAGGGACAAAACTGTAACTTAACATTAAACCCTAACGGACCAAAAGTGTAATTCAGACATTTACTAAGCTACAAAACTGTAATGAATGCAAACTTAAAAGTTAAAATTATAGGATCAAAACTATAATTATTATATTTTCAAAATAAAAAACTACATTGATCAAAAGTGTAGTTAATGCAAATTAAAAACTATAAGGATCAAAACTGTAATTATTACATTTCATGCAAATTAAAAGAAATATATGAAAAGGTATGAAGATCTAATCTATTATTTTAATCTTACATATTATAATTAATAATTTAATATTTACAATATACAAAATATTATGCATAAAATATGTAACTTTTTTTTATAAATGAATTATATATATATATATATATATATATATATATATATATATATATATATATATATATATATATTAAAAAACATTCAAAAAGATGGAGTTAATGCTTTGGTAGGCTCACAAATCATGTTGCAAGTCTTTCGCACTTTGCAAGAATAAAGATTATGTGGAATATTAATATGCTTACGATGACAAGTTGAAAACCATCAAGAACCAATGCATATGGTTTAATTTATATTATAAAATTTATAAATTATTAGTTGATACGTTATTGGGGTCCACTTTGTATTGATATTGTATTGACGTGAGTTATAATTACAAAAACTAATATGACACAATTAAAAGATTAATAGTCTTGTACCGATGTAATGGTTTAATAGTCCTTTGTAATCGTAGTGGGAGGAAGATAGATGATGAGACTACGACAAAAATCGTCAAAAAGTAGGATAGTAAGCATTTGGTGAAGATATCGACATTTTAATATCAAGACAAACATGTAAAATGTGAACTTCGCATCTAGCTAGTTTTTCACAAATGAAGTGTATGTCTATTTCCATATGCTTTGTTCTTTGATGTTGAACCATTATATATATATATATATATATATATATATATATATATATATATATATATATATATACTTAGATTATTTTGTTTTTACTAACTATTGTGTGTCAGAATGCACAGATCTGGACCATCGGATGGAATAGAATCAAATGTCATGATCTAAGGGTATATGCTATTAGAATAGGATAACATGTACCATATAATCACACAAATTTCAGCATAAGGGCATTTTAGTCAATTAACCTATGTGAAAAAAGGAAATTTTCAGATTTTTAGGGATAACTAATTCCTTTATTTTTAAAAATCTGAATATTTTAAATTAATTCAAATTTAAAAATCCGATTTTATTCTGTCAGAATGACAGAATGCCAACCTTAAACTAGTAAATATATTTTTCGATTTTATTCTGTCAGAATGACAGAATGTCAACCATAAATTAGTAAATATATTTTCGATTTTATTCTGTCATAATGACAGAATGTCAACCATAAACTAGTAAATACATTCTGAAAGAATACACAAAATCGACTCTTGAACTAATAATATACCAAATAATTACATTGTATGATTGTGATTCATTGAAGAATAACAACATTCTGAAAAAATAACAAGTGTAATTCTTAAAAAATAACAACATTCTTAAACAGTGAGTGTGATCATTTTTTGATTCATTCTTCAAGCCTTTCCCATCAGGTCTTCAAGCCATTCTTCAAGCCATTTCTATCACAAATTCATTGTCAAATATTTTGTAGTAATACACTTGTAACAACTGCACATTAAACATATAAATAATTAACATTCTATCAGAATTGCCATTCTATCATAATTGCATTGCATGAAAGTCAGTTGCAATAGAATCCCGGTAAAATCATTCTTATGTGATTCTACCATAATCATTTTTATGTGATTATACCGAAAAAACAATTATGAAAGAATCATTCTTATGTGATTCTACAAGAATATAATACTTTTTACACATTATTCAAATAGAAGAATAACTTAGATGCAAAAAAATTCTTAAAAAATGAAACAGTTGAAGATGAAGATAACACCCGATGATAAGGTAAAAAAGTTATTATCATAGAATTAGCTTAATTATGCATTTTTTTTTCTTTGATTTATTGATTCCATTATTTATAAATATTTATGCTAGACATGTAATTATATAAAAGAGTCAAATATGCTTAAAGAATATTGGTTCGAATCAGAAATTGCAATATCAATTTAGAAAGAATTAACTTTGGTGGTTGAAAAAATAACTAAACCATTACTCAGGCGAGAACTATTGATGAAATTTCTTCAGCTGAGAATTTTTTCTCTTCACCTTTGTACGTAACTAAAATCACAGGCTTGTCATTGCGTTCTCCAGTGATCTTGAAAGGATACAAACTCTTGTCAGCCTGAACCATGTCATCACTGAATCTCCTACCAATAAAACATATAGCATCTGAAAAATAAACACGGCACAAGCAACCACATTATGATAAAAAGGGATGTGGGGTTAGAATAAAAAGAATGGTGTATATTCTAACTTCACAGAGAATCACAATAAGAGGAAAATGTATCAGAGAAGAATAGGCTATGAAAAATACATTGTCTTCTTCACATCAAACTTCATTGACTTTCTACATTGACTTTTCATTTGTCTGCGATTATAGATACCTTCTTCAATCGATTTTCAATTCACATCAAACTTCAACAACAAATCGACATCTTATACCCATCTGTTCTTCAAAATTGACAAATATGAACACCAATTTTGACTTTTTCGAAACAAACTCCAACTTATGACCGTGAAGTTCAAGTTGTATCAGAATATTTCTTCAATCGAAAAAAAAACAGAAATAGAACATTGAAGAAATCGAATTAATAAGATGATGAACAATCTCGATCTTGAATCAAAATCAAGATAAAGTCTGGACGACTTGATAAAATCAATTTGATTTTGTCGATCATAGATGTCGAAAGAAACTTACCAAATCAATTTTATCGCAAGAAACTGGATCGTTGAGAAATCAAAATATGTTCGAAATCAATCAACGATAGAAGACCTGGTGTTGCCAATTTGGGTTTCAGTATTTCTACCTGTTGACGAGTCTTGATCGGATTTAATGCCGCCGATGTAGACACACCCGAAACCACCTTCGCCGATCTTTGCTTATCGGTTGAAGCCATTGGTGGCCGATTTGAGTTCGGGGAAAGTGAAGACTCGAAGATATAAGACAGGATACAGAGAGACTAGGTCAAATATATTGATTTTATTTCCTTAATTGCAGGATTTCAATAAAATGATCCATTTATTATATATATATATATATATATATATATATATATATATATATATAGTAATAATAAACAACCGTTGTTTGTGTGAGTGGAAACTATAAACCAATTAATCAAACCTGAGTTCTAATATAATTCTAATAAGATATGAATATCTAATCTAAGATGTTTATCTAATATTTAATATTAACAATGCAGGTTTTACCTTAAAAACAAGTAACTTCACATTTGACAGAAACGATTAAACCAATATCAAGCTTTTAAAACATTATAAAAGGGAAATCTGCGGAAAGGTCCCAAAGTTTGCCCCGGTTTATGATTTAGTCCTAAATTAATTTTCACTTATGAAAAATGATAGGTTATCGACTATTACACTCAATTTAGCCCTTCGAACCGGTAACCCTTGTATTAGCCGGTTACCTCAGCTGACTCGTCCTTATTACCCTCCACTAACCTCCCCGTCACCCACTCCTCTATAAAAAAACCTTTTCTTACCCTCCATCGAAGCAAAACTCTACCAAAATGGCATCTTCAAGCTCAGTGGGAAGCAGGTGCAATATCCGATCACGAAGGCAAACATTAAGGGAAACATGCTTTTGTGAAGACCCTGTTGGTAAATGGACATCATGGATGCCAACAAACCCTGGCAGGAGGTTCATCGGATGCCCTAATTTTCGGGTAAGTATCCCTTAATCCTCTTTAATTACATCTCAAATCTCTTCCAACTAGGTTTAATTTCCTATATAACAGGATGAGGAGATTGCGAGTATTTTGCTTGGGTCGATCCCCCATTACCAAACAACTGGTGCAGAAACATGTTGATGGATTTTCACAACAATGGCATTCAAGTACACAATGATTTCATAGAAGAATTTGTGGAAGAAGATGTGGATTTTCACAACAATGGCATTCAAGGTGAAGGTGAAAAATGGAAGGTTGGGTTTTTTTTGTGTTTGTTGGTGATTATGTGGATTATGTTGAAGTAGTTTTAAGTTGTTGTAAAACTTTTGGCAATGTATGTAATCTTGATTACTTAAATGACAGTTGGATGTAAGTTGTATGTTGTTGAATGAAAAATGGTTTTATGGATACCTATTGTTTGAGCAATGTACAATTGTAAGTGTATGATGTGAGCAAATAAATGATGTTTTTCAACATAACATAATGACCAAAATGGATGTAACTTATACATCAACAAAACATACCAAAATCAGCCAAAGTGTTAACAATGCAACCATATTGTATATTGTTTACAAAAGAAAGGGCATATTAACAAATTTACCAAAAGTGGATTCCTAACCAATCTAATCCAAAGTAAGAGGTTTTCTGGAGCCATTCCTATTCCTTTCTTGTCCACCATAATTTTCTTCAACATGTTTTCAGTGATCCTTTCAGAAGGTTTTCTTGTTCTAACCCTAACTTGAGTTCTAACCCTAACTTTAGTATCATCAACTCCCTCTTCATCATCCTCAGCTCCATCTTCATCATCAACTCCCTGTTCATCATCTTCAACTCCATCTTCATCATCTTTAACTCCATCTTCATAGCCACTCTCCCCCTTGTTTTCATCATCGTCCTCTTGTGTTTCTGGTACATGTTCACTCTCAAAAGACACATCCTTGCATGGGAAAAAATACAATTTAGTTACGTTATTGAAAAATAAAATTCACTTTCAATGTTATAAGATATACATTTGCAACTTTTTTGGATTGGCGAAGCAAAGCATCAAATCCTTTAAGTTGTGATTGGGTGATATTAAGACACAAAAGGATTTCTGCTTCACTGTATTTTGACTCTCTAAGGTAACTCAAATCATGTAGTATTTGATCTAGATCAGCCATATCAAGACCATCACCTTCAACATCAATCTCAACAACTGCTTCCTGTGTTTCTGGTACATGTTCACTGTCAACAGTAGGTGCTGTTTGGGTGACAAATTTACTCTCAACATTAGGTGTTGTTTGGGTGACAAATTGAGTCTCAATCTCAGGTTCTTTTTTCCCAAAACTTTCACCTTCTTCATAAACACTGGTAGACCCTCTTCCACACCACTTCTACCACCTCTTCCACCACCTTTTCTACCACTTTTTGATCCTCTCTCACCTCTTGTGCAATTGGTCAATTCTGGATGCAACCTTGGTTTTCCAATTTTTCTTCTTAGGCTTTAGTGTAGGTTTGACTGAGGGATTCTTGCAAGATACTTTATTGTGCCCCATTTGCATACAATTCTGACATTGGACAGTTTTGACCTTAGAGGAGACTTGGGAGAACCTGTCTTCATGCTCAGAAACATGCCTTTTCCTTTTCATACAAGGCCTTCTTGGCATCCTTCTTTCAACAGGTGGTAGTGGTTTGGTGTAAGGTGTTGGTTCCCACATATTATTGTCATTAATAGGAAGGATGTTAGAATTATAAGTAGCTAAAAACTTGTCATTACCAAACCATGTGTTGATGAATCTAGTTGGATCCTGTTGTGTGTAAATTATGGTTGCTTGGGCATGGACACAAGGGATCCCAAACAACTCCCAAAGTCTGCATGTACAGTACATCCCCTCTAAGTTCACTCCATATGAGTGGAAGCCATTTCTCACTTCATAAGCATTCAAACCACTAGGATGAACATACCAACTCCTGCAAACACATTAACAGTTTTAATTAGTATGGATATTGATATCAATACTAAAATCATACATTGTCTTAATTTTATGATACTTACTTGATATCACAACAAAACTCATCCATTTTCTTAATAGGTCCTGGACACATATCATTCACCCATTTACGTGCTTCGTGCTTCAAGTTAAAAAAACCTTTCTATCATATATAGTCTAATCTCCTCAAGCATGGCCAACAAAGGCTTCTTTCTGGCATCAAGTATGATGGCATTAAAACACTCTGCCATTCCATTTTCAACAGCCTCACATGCCATTCCAACTTTAAAAAATGCCATGCACCATGATTTAGGCTCCCTTGCCATCAAATGATCATAAGCAGCAAAATTGACTTCTCTGATCTTCTCCATATTCAATTTGAAGTCTCCTTCAACAGTTGACTTGAAAACTGTCCAAAACATATTCTTGAACTCTATACCACTGAAAACCTTTCTGAAATTTGCATACACATGTCTTGCACATTGTCTGTGCTCCACATGTGGCAATACAACCTTTACATCTTCCAAAAGACCCTATCAATTACATTAAAAAATTTCATTAGTAACTACTTAATACATGTATAAATGAATTGAAAAATAAAGATAATCGAAAACATTACCTTGTGTTGATCATAAATAACACACAAATCCAAGCCTCCTTGTAATTCTAGGTCATCATGTAGTAGTTCCAAGAACCACTTCCAGTTGGACTTGTTCTCAATTTCAACTACTGCCCAAGCAATGGGATACACATGGTTATTTGCATCCCTCCCTATGGCAGTTAGCAGCTCACATTTACATTGTCCCTTCAAAAAACTCCCATGAAGCCCAATAACTCTTCGACAACCAACTTTCCATCCTTCTTTGATAGCCTTAAAGCATGTATACATTCTATGAAGTAGTAGTGTTATCAGGGTTTACAGTGACAGATATTTGAATTGTACTCCCTGGATTGGACCTCATCAACTCATGTCCATAATCCCATACTTTTGCATAGTGATCACTCAACTTTCCATCTATTAAAGAAATTTCCCTACACTTTGCTCTATAACATTTTGACCATGAAACCTTGCAATGGAAATTGCTTTGAATAATAGTTTGCATTTCCTTACATTTCATATTTGGTTTCCTAACCATCTCCTTCAAAAACTGCCTAGTTATCCATGTGGGATCCATAAGATTAGCACTACGGAAATTCCTAACACTGGTATGTTGCTCAACTAGATTTTTGATTTGGAATGATCTTTCAGTGCTCATCCATGAGGCCCTTACAACAAAGGGACATTGAAATTTCTCAGGGTCACTTGCATATACAGCCATAAGCCTTACACTATCACATTTATTGAACCTAATTGGATAACCCCTACTGAAACATCCCAAAAATACAGCCCAACAATTTCATTTTTAATTCAATAATAAAACTATAAACATCCTCATCATATAAAAGTCAAAATTCATGTATCAAAGTCACATGTCAAAATATATCAGAGTATAAACATCCCAGGCTAAACAAATGCTGTGTGCGCTGCAATCTTCCCGAGCTCCTCTTTTGAAAACTGAAGTACCTGAAACCAAACCTGAAAACCGTAAGCACGAAGCTTAGTGAGTCTCCCCAAACTACCACATATCATACACATAATCACATAACTTGGGCCTAGCCCACTGCATCGGGCCCCGCCCGGCATCGGACCGTAATCCGGTACACATATAAACATATCAACAATGCATATAACATAAACACATAACATAAACATAACTTTGGAACTCTGCCCAGCTGCATCGGGACGAACCCGGCATCGGGCCCCGGCCAACATCTGACCGCATCGGGCATCGGACCCCATCCGACACTGAGCTTGCCCCGACATACATACAACACATCATAAACAAATAACATAAGCATATAACTTTCATCGGGCTTGCCCCGACATACAACATATCATATACCATATAAGCTAACATGCATCGGGCTTACCCCGACATCGGACCGAAGCTTGGAACACATAACACATAACATATAAGCTAACATGCATTGGGCTTACCCAGACATCGGACCGAAGCCCGGAACACATAACACATAACATGCATGAATCACAAAGACATCAACCATACATATACTCTTCTCGGGACCGCCCCGGCATCGGACCGTAGTCCGGAACTACTAACAAATAAACAGGCCGACATTGTGGCCTTAGACCCGTTCCTACTAAAAGAGAACTCAATTCACACTGCTGAAGTCCCGCTGACAAAAACCCTAGCTGCTGGATGACAAATTCCCGAATCTGTCAACGTCAAAATAACACCCAACTAATAATTGGGTCCCCAACACATATCCATAAATCCATGCTTGGGGTAAAAGACTACTTTACCCCTAACTTAGCTTGACTCAAGCCTAAGGCCCAATCCAAAGGCCCAACTATGGCCCAATTTTCCAAATTGGGCCCAAACCTCTACATGGTCTTACCTTAAGGCCCAACCATTTATTCTTGGTCCAACACTTGACATTCTGATGGCCCAATATCTCATACTCATCAAGGCCCATACTATGGCCCATCTATGGCCCAATTTTCCAAATTGGGCCCAAAACTCACATATGGGCATTACCCTAAAGCCCATCTGAATATTCTAGTCCATATGATTATTCTTGGATGGCCCACCAATAACCCAATCATCGAGGCCCAATAGAAAGGCCCAACTCAAGGCCCACCTGAAATTAGGGTTTTCACATAAAATGACGATTAGGGTTAAGTGTTTCTCACTTAACCATTTAAGGACTTAATCCATTAAGTGGCCCACATGTGGGTCCCGATAAGTCCAAGGCCCGTATATCCAAAAATTAGGGTTTCCAACCCAATCATAGCCCAATAGGCCCAAAACTAAATCTTCAGGTCAATTAGGGTTTCACTAGACCTGTTAGGGTTTCACTAGGCCTGTTAGGGTTTCGCTAGTCGGGCACCACCCACTACCACCTCGAGTAGTGGTGGTCAACGGCGGCTCACGGCGGCGGCCACCACCTCACGGTAGTGGTTAGGGTTTCTAGTCTATTTTTGTCCAAGAATCCAAAAGCAACCAAACACATGCAAAAGCACACCGTCACCCAACACGGCGGTTGGTGGCGGCAGGAGGCGGCAGCCACAACCCAACGGTGGTGGTTTGAGTTTCTTTTCATTATTCTACTTTCTAATTACATTTTACAATGCTTTAACCCAAAAAATAAACACATACTAAATAGATAAACACACACACACAGCCACCTTGTGGTGGCCGGCGGTGGTGCATGGCGGCAGCAGCGACGTTGACGGCGGCAGCCACCATGGGCGGCAACCATGGTGTTTTTCTTGGGTTTTTCCGGCAGCAGCAACCCGACACATACACGCGCCTGTAACATGTCAACACCGGTTTATGCACTCATTCAACAACCTGTGGTGGCACATGGTGGTTGGAGACGACAGCTACCACCTCACAGTGGTGGTGGTGGTGGGTTATCTTGGTTCCTGCCCAAAATAACATACATGTTTCACTGTTAGCTCTGGAAACAACCCTTAAAGACGAACACACACACATTCAGCTGCCTACAAGGTGGCAGGACATCGCCGGAATGCCACAGAAGTGGCATCTAACGTTGGCGGCGGCCAAAACGACGATTACAGCCCCGTACAACCAAAAGGGATGAAAGAAATGAGAGACAACCTCACCGTGACCATTCCGATTGTAACGCTCTGTTTCGAATTGACTCCTAGTCTGAGGTTGTGGCCTGAATATCGGTCATCATCAGGATTAGGGCTTTTGAGAAGGTAAGATCTAGGACCATTTGGGTACGGGTGATGTATTAGAAGTGATATGGGTGTTCGGTTCGTGTTTTGAGGCCTAAGGGTATTTCGGTAAAGCGGCAGTTTGCGCTTTTGTGGAAAATGGACTTTTGTTTTGAAGGTATTAAGGAAGGTATGAGTTGATATAAGGGCAGGGCTTCTCGTCACCTTTCCGTGGATATAAGGATCGTCAGAATCGAGTTTATAACGAAGAAGTTATGGCCTTCGAAAGTTTCGTGGTTTTCATGCTTAGCCGAGTACGCGAGGTGTACTAGTGAAGAAGGTAGTATGCTGGCCTAGAAACACGGGCGTTACAACGACTTTGTAACTCATTTTGAAGAAATGAAGAGGAATCATGTGATTATTATGTGATTTATGTGTTTTATGCTTAATTATTAGGATTTAATTAATTAAGAATAAAAATGAGCGTCGAAAATAAATATTAGATGTCACACACCCGAACCAGACGGCGGAAACGTCCGAGGGCTCGCGTGACTTAAATTGAAATATCATCACAATGAATATATATGAAACATAACACATGCATCACCAACCATTACATAGTACAACTGGCATTGTTTACATCAAGTACAAGGTTTACATTACATGATTTCATAATATAAAGTGTTTGGTGATTAGCAACTACAAAAGAAACTTTCACACACTGGATGCCTCCTTGTCTAACGATTACCTGAGAATACAAGTTATTTTGAAAACGGTCAACATATATAATGTTGGTGAGTTCATAAGTGTGTTTGATGTGAAACAGTTTATGTCATTTGAAAAACCCAGAAAATCCGATATTTTATGTATTAAAACTTTTCTTGAAAATGTGGTGATGATCCTGTAAGTATGTGCGTGAGTGATTTCAATAAGTGAATAAATGAGAAGTTTTGCATTATAGTTTTTGAAAGTACAAATGAGTAAGATTGGTTTCCCCGGAAAACCCGATGTTTTCCGATAAAAAGTTATGATTGTTTTGCTTTATTGAATCGTTACATCGAATGAATATGATTTCCCTTGATTAATGATGTCGGATTTCTACGTGAGTCGTTATAACCATGCATGATAATGACTAGTTCGTCTGTCTTGGTATTCTAATGAACACCGAAATTTGATCTTAAGACTTTGTCACCCTAGACTGGCCGAGTCTAACTATAGCGAACAACTTAGGTGTGGGGGAGTCACCCCCGTATAGATCTATACACAAACTCTCGCTCTCCCTCCAGGAGACTTTGATTACAACTACATACTACGACCGACACTTATTGGTGTCGCCCGTTATT